TCATTACAAGAAGGTGAGGAGCTTAGCAACATGAAAAAAAAAAAAGCCCTTCAAATCGATTGAACAGTTTGGAAGCCTTCTTCTGCCCATCTATCCCTGAAGCTACTTTTCTACTATCCCTTCAATGACCTCTCAGTTCATGGAAGGGTCATCTCCCCCCAAATCCTTACACCCAAATTCTCAAAATAATCTATAGCAGTACCAGCTTCTTCTAGTCCCTCCTTTGTTGGTTGAGGTCTTGTCTCAGTCTGTCCAGACAGCTGTAACAGAACATAATAGAATGGGAAGGTTATGAACAACAGAAATTTATTTCTCACTCTTCTGGAGGCTCGGAAGTTCAAGGTCAGGGTGCTAGAGGATTTGGTGTCTGCTAAGAGTCTGCTTCCTAGTTCATAGACAGCCATCTTCTTGCTGGTTATTCACATGACAAAAGGAGCAGGGAATTCTCTGGGGTTTCTTTTATAAGGACACTAATCTCATTTATGAGGTCTCTGCCCTGATTACTGAATCACCTCCCTAAGTCTCCACCTCCAAATACCATCATATTGGGGATTAGATTTCAATATATGAATTTGGGGGGACATAAATGCCACTCATTCCAGGATCTAAGGGTAAATCTTTCATTATGTCGCTTTTCTTATGCAGGCAGTTTGTACTGTGTGATTGTAGACCATCTCTATCTTCAGTGGTTAGATAAGAGTATCATTGGTGAGAAGTCGATTATCTTCTTTCCTCCCTTGATCTCAGTACTATTGCTGGGGACCCCAGTTCATAAGACAAAATTTTCTTCTGTCCTGATTGAGTGTTCTGGAAGCTAGTCATGATTGATCCTAATGTCCATCTGCTCCTGTCAAGGTCAAACTCTTTCTCCTTTAAGATCTCCTGCTTATTGTTTCTCCTTTAAGATCTCCTGCTCATTCTTTATAACCCAGAGTGGAACTAATCACCAATGGTGTCCTAAGTGCCATGACTGCCAGGTGGTCTGATGGAGCCTAACTTCAGGATTGCTTCCTTGCGAGCTATATTTTTTTTTTTCAAAATGAACTTATTAACTTAAGTATAAAATTGTCCTCCAGTTCATCCTTACTAAATTTTACTTTAAAGTGGACAGAACCTGTAATTCATTCTATTTCTATTCTATAGTAGTAACCTGGGGACCAGAATCTAGATGATATTATAATAAGCACTTTTCTGCTTACTGATATCCTAACCTGGGAAAGTGGCTATGCCTCCTCTATTTAACCCTGGGATCAAACATCCTGTAGCCAGAGTGAGATTATAAAACAAAGGAAAAATAAGATGGACTAATTTTCAGGCCTGGGATGTGCCCTTTCTGCCCCAATTACCAACATGCATAAAGCTTGGCTAATGTATAATTCTCTATCATGGTATATGGTGGTCCTTGGTATATGGTATATAACATGGCAGTCCAGAAGACTGGTCTGAGGGAAGACTGGGTTTGAATCCCAACTCTGACACTAAATTATGCTGCCATGGACAAGCTACATAAACTCTTTCTACCTCTATTTATCTCTATAATGGGTATAGTAAATTGATTAAGATATAAATTGCTTACCACTTTACCTGGCATTTTATAATTTCTCAATAAGTATAAACTATTAATATTACTTAAGACTCTGTTCAGGGGTTTCTGTTTCCATGAAATATTCCATGAATGACCCCCATGGTTATGTGTGTGTGTGTGTGTGTGTGTGTGTGTGTGTGTGTGTGTGTAGGTACACGTGCCTAGACACACACCCTCTTCATTCAATCTGGCACTTCATATACCCCTTCTGTGTAGCATTCTGTGCATATATTTTTGTGGTCTTTTACAATGTCCTAGTGGTATTTTTACATGTACATTTTCTGTTGTTATTTGATAAACATCTTAAGTTCGGGTATTATGTCTTAGACACCTTTATATTTTCAACATCTAACAATAGCTGATATGCAGTGTGTGTTTAATAAATATTTGATAAAAATGATGATGAATAGTGGATGCCTAAGCACTTTTAATGACTACATCTTTGATGCTTTAAGGGAAAGGGTCTTCCTTTTATATTCTATGCCAGAGATGAACAATAACCTAAACATCTGTATGTACCTTGTCCTGTTCTCTGAGTCTACATGGATAGAGATTCTCTGTAGTTAAAATGTGACCAGGTTAATGGATCACTACAGAAAGAAAAAAAACTCTCTTAGGACTCAATAAAAATTTATGGTCAATTATAAGCTACTCATTCTTTTGAAAATGTTCAAATATTACAATCTTCTATGTGTTTAATAGTCTAGAAATGTGGGCAGATTCTGAGATACTGTCATTAGAGATTTGAATTTTATGGCTGAGGTCATTTTCTTCATCTCATTATGTCTCTCTTGCTGCCACTTTAATCCCTTTCCCCACTTTTTGGCCATCTTTCTACAGAGCTGTACACAGTGCCTGTGTTCCTTCACTACCCATTACACTGTGCCAGTCTGATTTCAGTCACATCACCCTCAACAACTTACGCCAATATGGTCATTTTGCTATAGTCGGTTTTTCAGTCCTCATTTTACCTGACTTGTCAGCAACATTTGACTCTGTTACCTTTGCTTTCCTACTTGAAACTCTACTCTCTCGGGCTTCCTGACATCATTTTCTTTTTGTCATACTCCTACTTACCTGGAAGCTCTGTATTATAATTTTTTTCAGACCTATGTTCTCCCCAGCTGTGTCCCAGCCCTTCCTCTCTTCTTAGTCATTTTCTCTCTAGAGAAGTTGTGCGTGCTGTTGGCTTTTACAACTATCTCTATCTTGGTAACTTCCAAATGTATATATATGTCCAGCCTAGACCTGTCTTTTGAGCTTCAGATTCACAGTCTCACTGTGAACTTAATAACTTCAGTTGACAACTAGAGCCACTTCAAGTTCAATATCTTCAACATGACCTCTTGACTTCCTCATCTAAACCTATCATCTCCAGTTGCACTAGTCAGAAATTGAAGAGTTGTCATTGACACCTTCTTCCTTATCTTCAATATCTAATTTGTCATCACTTAAAAAATTTCAACATTGGAGGGGCGCTTGGGTGGCTTAGTCGGTTAAGCATCCGACTTTCGCTTAGGTCATGATCTCGCAGGTTCGTGGGTTTGGGCCCCGCTTCGGGCTCTGTGCTGACTGCCAGCTCGGAGCCTGGAGCCTATTTCAGAGTCTGTGTCTCCCTCTCTCTATGACCGTCCCCTGCTCACACTGTCTCTCTCTCTCTCTCTCTCTCTCTCTCTCTTTCTCTCCTAGAAATAAATAAAAATATTAAAAAAAATTTTTCAACATTGGAGTATCTCTTGAATCTGTTCAGTTTTCTCCATCTCCACTGATATAATTGCTTTCATGATTTTTGGGCAATGCTACTGCAATATTTTCTAAACTAGTCTAATGGTTTCCACAGTGTATCTCTCAAAATTATTTTCAGTTTTACAGAGTGATAGCCAGGTGACACATTTGTTCATGTATTTCCCCTCCCTTCCCCTGATCCCCCTCCCTACCAATTCTCTTAATGATTTCCCATTTCTCTTGGGACACAGATCAAGACCTTTAACACAGCTCACAAAGCCCTGAGTGGGAATGCTCCCTACCTCCTCCAACTTCTTCTCCCTCAGTCAGACTCTCCTCACTCTGATTCCAAATACTCTGGTTTCAGCTTTAGTCTCTCAAACACCTGTGTTTCTTTTTGTCATCGGTCCTTTGCATATGCTGTTGTTTTTGCCTGAATCGGGAATAATTTTTTAAAATATTTTTTAAGTTTATTTTTTAGAGGAGGGAGAGAGAGAGAGAAAGCATGCACAAGTGAGGGAGGGGCAGAGATGCTTAATTGACTGTGCCACCCAGGTGCTCCTGGAGTACTTTTTACCCCTGCTCCTTTGACTACATTACTATCAGTCTATAAGATATTTTCATAAGCATGTTTTCAATGAACTCCCCAGGGAAAATTTCTTTGGATATTATAACCAAAAAAATCATTGGACTTCTCTTGACCTCCTTATTTTATTTTCTTTTATTTTAATCTTACAGACACAATGAACCATTTAAAATGTACCATTTTTCCTTCTTGTCACTAGCTTCTCAAGTGTCTGCCCTGTATAATAGTTCCTGGCCTGGGCTCCAGAGCCAAATTAATTGGATTTGAATTCTGGCTCCTATGTTCATTAGCGGTTTGATCTTTGTCAAGCTACTTAACATTTCTGTGACTTCATTTTCTCATTTATAAAATCGAAATAATAATAATACTTATTCTCCAAGTGTTATGAGAAGAAAATGAATTAACATGCACAAAACCATTTAGAATAGTGTCTGGTGTATAACAAGCACTTCATAAGGGTTGGTATTATTATTACTATTTCCTATCTCATCAATGCCTAAATTGCCGGGGTGCTTCATGTTAAGTTACTTCTGGATCTTAGTTCTTTGGATTCTTGACCCAATGCTCCATTTTACTTTGCATGTAATAACACAGTATTTGAAGAACAGTTTTGATTATTCAAAATCAGATTATATAGAAATGAAAGAGACTCCCGTTGAATGATAGACACTTTATATTAAAATAGGAAAGATATTATTTGTAGGACTAACAGTAAGGGCATTGTGATTTGCTTCATAGAACTGTATAATCAAATCAATAGCAGAAAGTATCTTTGAAGCAAGGTTGTATCTAAGCTCCCACCTCAACAGAAACAAGGCTCCACACCATAATTAGAATCTAAGATTGGAGGCATGTTATATTATCAACACAGGCAATACCTTCCACACTTGTTGTATGAAATTAGCTATTCCCTTCCATGTTTTAGGAGGTTGGATTCCATTTTTATTTTCTAACACCAGATAAATGGGGAAAAAATTCAACTCTGAATCACAGTGCTCCTGCAATCAATCATTTAAAAAAACATATAGGCAAAGAATAAGGTTATTCCTTAGGTTTTAAATCCTGAAAATGATCTTTCTACTTTCTGTACTCTTTGTATTTCAGAGAAATGATCTTCCTTATCCCACATCACAGATGTCCCTGTAGCTACAGACTCCACCAGCTGAATAACAAGAGGATTCTCAAGATTATGTTGCATCTGTTCTTTTTTTTTTTTTTAAAGCTTGCCTGCAGAGTCAAAACAGCCAATGCCTTTGTTGTACATCGTGTGATTATACTTGGACAAATTAGGTGATTCTCCCCCCCCACCCCCCAACAATGTTGGTCAATGTAACAGGCTCCCAGAGTGAAACAAAATAGAAATTCATTTTTAATTCATGTTTGATGCAGAAGGCACACAGGCAGAAACACAGATCACTATTTTGTTTAAAAAAGAAATCACCATCTGCTTTGTGTAGGGAGAAATATTCAAGCCCTTTCTAATTACAGCAAGTATTTTCAGTTTAGGATCTTTTGACCATAAATTACCCTCGGTTTTCCTTTAAAGGGAATGTGTAGGTCTTGCTATTAACAGAATAGAAAAATGGTAATAGAGACATGTTTTTGTCTAAAATTTTTAATAAAGTAAAATTGGATTTAAGAGCTAGCCCTACAGAAAATGGTGTTAAAAACAAAGCAAATAGTAAAGGATTGAAAATCTTTACATAATCCCCACGATTCCCTTAAGGATTTAACTCAGTGGCTTTACTATTTATGAATTTGTATAATAATGGTGCTTTGATTTTGCACAATGATTTCAGAGCAATTTCCTTACTTTGGGTCATGTTTTTTCAGCTCATAAAGTGCTCTCTAAGATCATTAGGCACATTGGGAAGGCAGATCTAACTTTTAGGCCAATCAAGGACCATTGAGATGAAATGACTTAATGCATGTGCAAGCACTTTGAAAAGTGTAAAGCACTCCTCAAATGTAAAAAGGTTTTGCTGCTATTAAATAACTGATGGAAGACTTAAGGTGGCTTTTCCAAACACTTACCTTCACTTGCAACCACTGAATAAGAAATCTCTAGATGAAAAACATGACAAATGTTCCTATCATGATGGTCATTGCTAAGAGGTATACTTCAGACTTCACAATGCTGTCTAACTCCCTTAGGGTCTGAAGCCTTTGCAAGAACTATGAAATTACAGCTAAAAGCGATCAGTCCTTGAACAACAAGAATATTTTGAGTAGCTGTTTCACTGTGCCATAATGCAGTTTATTTCATTTGATTCTCCCAATGGGTTTAAGTCCTGGGAAACTAGTACAACCTGTTTTTGCACTTCTTGGGGAAAACATGATCTAAAACTCGAGGGCATCATCGTCCCTAAGCTACTAAATTAGAATATAGGAGACCTTAGTTACTAATAATATTAAGGTTAGCATTTTAATTGATGATGGTTATGGGCAGGACTGGTCTTTTAAAAACTGAGAGGACCCATAAACAAACTGCAGATGTATCACTCAAGCTCAGAAAATCTCTGAGGTTACATTTATATTAGATGCTATCCAACATGTTGCATTGAAATGTACTACTGTTATGGGATGAATTATGTGCCCTCCAAAATTCAAATGTTGCAATCCTAACCCCAGTATCTCAGAATACGACCATGTTTGGAGATTGGGTCTTAACAGAGGTAACCAAGTTAAAATGAAGTCATTAGTGTGGATCCTAATCCAATATGACTGACGTTCTTATAAGAAGGGTGAATTTGACATATTTCACTGATGGCGGGGAGGGGAAAATGGGTGATGGGCATTGAGGAGGGCACTTGTTGGGATGAGCACTGGGTGTTGTATGTATGAATCACGGGAATTAACTCCTGAAGCCAAGAGCACACTGTATACACTGTATGTTATCTAACTTGACAATAAATTATATTTAAGCCCGTAAAAAAAAAGCGGGGGGGGGGGAAGAGGGAATTTGGATATAGACACCTACAGAGGGAATTCTGCCTCTCAGACTGCTTCTGGACTTGAGCTGTAACATTAATTCTTCCCTGGGTCTCTGGCCTGCCATCCTGTCCTGTAGAGTTCAGACTTGCCAGCATGTGAAATTTTGTAAGCTCACGCTTTAAAATGAATCTCTCTGTATATACATAAACACACATCCTATTCTGCTTCCCTGCAGAAGCTTGACCAAATTAATTACCAATAGACACACCCTAAAAAGTATGAATACAAACTACCCCTAAATTATATATTCAAGGTTAGTGGCTAAGTGAATAGTTTTGTAGTCAAAATGATGCATTCAAATTTTGCCTCTGCCACTTTCTACCAATATGTCTTTGAGCGTGCTCATTTAACCTCTCAGTTTCCTCATTTGTAAAATGGAAATAATTGGATTGCAGTGAGAATTTAATGAATAAGTTATTGTTAAAGCATTCATCAGAATATTTTATCAAGTCTTAGGCTCTCAAGATATGCTAGTTATAATTATCCTTATTGCTATTATTTATATACTGTGCCAGTCAGGATTCTTAATTTTGGGCCATAGACTTGACTAAAGTTAATTTAAATGGAAAGGAATTTATTAAAAGATATTAGGAAGCTCATAGTTTGCCTGAGACTATGAGAGAACCAGGCTGTGACATTGTGAAGCCAGGAACCACTGCCAAAATAGATGCCATAGAAATGGACCCATGACACCCCACTGCAACTGCCCTGGATGTTGCTTCTGTCATCAACACCACTGAGACTGGAGACCAGAGAAAGCCACTAGAACCATTCTAGCAACTGCTGTGATAAGGCCATTCTTGTCATGGTGAATTCTCTGCGCTCCTTTCCTCTTTATGCCAAAAACTTCTGATTTGATGATATTTGCAACGAGTATGAGTGAATGGTAGTTAGTACCTAAGTCCATCTCATGCCTATATGCAGGGTGGCTGGGACCATGAGTATCAGGGATTTTCAGGTTTTATAGTGAGAGACAAGCTTTGCCTTACAGGATGTGGGAGGTGGCTGGGGGTGGGTATAGAAGACAGAAATCTGAGTATGCCAATATTTACCATATATATGAATGGAGATTTAGAATCAGCTGACTACTGGTCACAGAAACTCTTCTTTTTACCACTATTTTTTTTCTTTTACAATTCTTTTCCTATCCTCTCTTTCCTTCTCCAGCATTGCTTATGATGACTCCCAACTTCTATGCCTAAATTTCTTCACCTTTTTGTAAATGTTGAGTTGGTTTGGGAAATTTGGTGTGACAAGTGTCACATGATGTGTCTAACATTATTTCATTGTCTATGAAGATATGTCATTGTGATTTCTAGGAAAAATATCTCATTACAAGAGAAAAAGGAATTGAGAAATGCGAATTTTGTAATCTGAAAGAACATGGTTTATATCCTGTCTGTCTGCTTAATATCCTAGTGACCGCTGACAATTTTTTATCTTGGGGCTCCGTTTCTCCATTTGTAAAACAGGTATAAAAATAAATTAATGACCCTGAAGGATATTTGTGAGAATTGGACATAATATATGTCATGTACTGTGGGACTAGCCAAAAATGGGACCTACTGAAATCATTTCTCACCCTTCATGGGCATGAAAAAGATCAAGGAAACTATTTTCAATCTCATCAGATTTTTATCCACAGAGCAATAATAAATAAATGTCAATTTTTTTGAATGGTTTCTTTTTTTCTGGGTGACATTATTAGTGTACATTACATGATGGAAATTTTTGGATAAAAAACCCAGAGTTAAAAAAAAAAAAGGAAATCGTCTTCCAAGGCATTTTTACTAAGGTCTATGACCTATTCTCTTCTGCTAAATCAAACCAGCACCCTATCGTGCACAGAGTGTAAATGCCATCTTACCTATGACAAATACTTTTCAAATACTAAACACAGCATTTTCCCATTTCTCTTTTTGTCTTTAGTACAAGTTCAGCTAGAGAGGGCACTGCAGACAAGATCGAGTGAGTACCTGATTGGCCACAGTTGGTCAAGAGAGCCTTGCCCAAAATGTGCAACTTGGAAGAGCCTTTTGAGCCCCAAAATTAAGTAACAGAGGATATTCCTTTAATAACAAACTGACTTTCCTAAATACATGCACCTAATAATTTTCTTAAAAAAATTTTGGTTTTGCATCCTGAAAATTAATGTAGGTAAAACATATTTTTGCTCCTTCCTTTATTGGAAGATTCATTTGCCACTTTCTGCTATGAGCCAGGCAGTGGTTTATAGGCTAGCTGGGCAGCTAGCCTGAGATACTTCTGTATATTTGGTCTTTCCAAAGTTACTGGCTCACTGCTCCCCAAACCCTTGGAATTTTCTGAGAGATAAGAGCAATGGGAGCATCTTTTGTCATGATATGTGGTCTTTTGTCCTCAGTTCCTAAAATGCCTCAGAGCCATAAAGGTGAGATGGGTGTTGTTATTCATAATAAGCCCCTTTCCACCACTATGTGGTTTCTGTTAATGAGGTTTCTGTTAATGAGGTGAAAGCATCTAAGGATGGGAGCTGGTTGCCAGTGGAGCCAGCCATGTGATTAGAGGGTTGGAACTTTCACTCGTACCCCTTAGCCTCTACGGAGAGGAGAAAAGCTACAGGTTGAATTGTTCACCAGAGGCCTGTGATTTAATCAATCATGCCTATATAATGAAGACTGTATAAAAACACAAAAAAGATGAGGTCCAGAGAGCTTCTGGATTGGTGATCAGGTGGAAATTCAGGGAGAGTGGCATCCTCTGAGGCCATGAAACCTCTATGCCCTTTTCCCATACCTTACTCCATGAATCCCTTCCATCTGGCTGTTTCTGAGTTATATCCTTTTATAATAAATTGGTCATCTCACAGGCAAAATATTTCTCTGAGCAGTGTGAGCCATTCTAGCAACTTAAAACTCAAGGGGTAGGGGATTATTGGAATCTCTTTTCTATAGCTGGTTAAATAGAAGTGCAGGTGATAATATGAACTTGTGACTGGCATCTGAAGTGGGCTGGGGGGCAGTCCTGTGGGACTGAGCCCTTCACCTGTGGGGTCTGACATTATCTCCATGTGGTGTCAGAACTGAATTGATTGTAGGACACCCATTTGCTTTACATGTATTTAATCTTCACACAAACCTATGAGGAGTACATTATTTTATAGTTGGGGAAACACAGGTTTAGAGGGGTTAAGTAACTTACTTAAGGTGACGTAACTAGAAAGTGGAAGAGCTGTGGG